GGCATCCCTTTACCTCAAATGGAATATCCAGCACTATTTCGGGCGGCAGATCCTCTCTTCTCATCCATTTCGGTGCTTGAACTATGTCGAATGTGCTGCTCTGTCCATCCTCCTCGCATCTTCCGTCCATTTTACGGTAAATTTTTGCGTAGCAGCAAAAGCACGTGGTGACCCTCACAAGATACGCTCAACTCATGTGGCAAAGGACCATGCGCATATGTCAAGTCTGCTTACAATCCCTAACAACAATCCTTTAATGACAAATTAAATATATTTAAATCCAAGTCTCCAGCCATGAAAGACACGACACAACCTTGGCAACCACCCCAGGAAGCCAGAAACGTTTAGCAGAATATCTCCGATAGTAGGAAATGTTCGCCCTTCTTCACCACAATCCCAGAATACACCATGCTCTTCAGTGTTCTGTGGACACTCTCCGCCGCGCCATTCACCGTTTCAATCTCGTGTATTGTTTTTTTCCCACCTTTTAATAGTCCGAATATCTTGTGTGAAATGGTAGCTTTGCTTTTATACAGCTCACTGTTCTCTAAGCTAGACCTTATGGCCTCGAAGATCCTGGGTCTAAAGCTCAGCTCCACCCCTCTTGCAATTGACCCATCATCCACGTACCTCTCGATCATCCTGTCTAGTTGGCTTTCAGCAGCTGGCGCATTTTTGGCCCCAAATGCATCTACAATCTCTTTTGGAGGCTCCCTGTCTCTAGTCGGAGACTCTCCGTCAACAACCTTAATCTCCAAATTTCTGAAGAGTCTCATTTTGAATATAAATTGCTCCAAGTTTTTCACCACAAAGTGTGCATCCATCCCTGCCAAGTATAGCTGCTTAAATATCCTTATTGTCACCTTGCCGTCGACGAACACGAGCTGTATGGGCTCTGAAAGATCGACATCCCTCTCCTTTGCATCATCCGAAACGACTGTTTTGTCTGGCAGAATCGTGTGCGATACAAAAATTTTCATAAGGGAGATAAAAGTGGTCCTGAATAGTGCTCTCATAAGATGCGCTCGTTCGCGTTCAAGCTCTATCTGGCAGTGCAACAAGATGGCGGCTACAGAAGTGGTAAAGCC